CCGTTTTCGCGCTCTCCAGTGTGAATTTTCGGATTCAGCAAAGCGAATAGGCCCGGGTAGGCACAAAATCTCAAAATCGGCTTTTTGCCCAGACACTGCCTTTGAAGATACAAAAATAATAAGAGGAAACTTAGACAAATAAAAACAGTTGTTTTGAAAAGAAAACCAAGGACAAAATGAAGGAGTCAGATTTAAAGAGGACTGGACATGACACATACCACAGTAAGCCGAACGAGTTCCGCAAGCTCTTCACCTCCAACAAGGGCACCATTGTGAAGCGGTCCAAATTCTAATGCACTGACGGTCTCAACCCTCACACGATAAGTCTAGATGAGTACAAGATTGAAGTTGATACGTCACGAAAGGGAGAATTCCAACAATATCAATTTGTGCCCCAGTTGTCCGATAATTTGTAAAACAAAAATATGCAAAAAATAGACAAGAAACAACGTTAACGAGACCATACCTTCTCACTCGCTCGTTCCAGCACAATCAACACATCACCAAATTTCGTCGCCATTGTCTCTCTTCGATATGGTTTCGAATGCTCGGACCAAACAATATGAACCTCAAATCAACTTTCAACCGAACTGTCATACGTCAATCTCAGCTTCGGTATGTTTACCTCATCATTTCCGATATGTTTCCATTTCTGTGTCACATCACCGGACAAATAGGTGCTGACGTGAAATATCAGCTCGGTATCGGGTGTAGCGTAGTAAGGCGCATTTGTATCGTAGGGTAATCCACCAGGATAACCTTCATGTCCTTTACCAATGCAGACCTGCAGTGCATACAGTGTGATGCAGTGAACAAAAAAGATAACAAAGCATCAAAACAAAAAAAAAGACAGCAATTAATAAAGTGTGGACTTGCCGGCCATCCTAATTCACTGACAAAGCGCTCAAAACTTGGTGAAGCTTTGGTATTCGAAAGAATGGACTGTTTATCTTCCTGACCATCGGCTACATAAATGACAGCCACCTACAATGAGAGAAATTTTTTTTT